TTTAACAACATTATTTGAAAACTGTTGTTAAAAATTGTTTTTAACCACGATTATTCATACAACTATTATTAAAAGTTATTTTCAACAACAGTTAAAATAACCATTGTTAAAACATTATTAACAATGGTTTCCATCAAATTGTTTTAAAATTTTATTTTTAAAAAAATTGATTATTTTTCTAATATCCAAAATTAAACCTATAAAATTTTGCTTTAAAATAGGATATCTCAAAATTTCAACAATCACAAAATTCTATCTAGCAACAATTGAAAATATCTATTAGAAACATAATAATTCTAAAACCTTAACTATCAAAATTACACAACAAAATTTATCATAATAATATAATTCTTCCTATAAGTATAAATTTCATTTTATTAAAAAATCAATGAAAAGGCAAAGAATTTCAATTTCTCCCTTTAACATAAATAACATATTAGAAAAAGAAAAGAAAACAAAATAAATTACATATACTAGCATTCTTATTTTCTTTTTATTAGAAAACTCCTCATCTGCAAAATATAGCATTACATAAATATTTAATACAAATTAAATATTCAAGTTTGAACTTTCTGTCAACCATCACTTAATATATAAGCTTTTTAAATTACATGACTCCAATTGCAAGCACAACCCTAGATAAGCAAATGATGTCTGATGAATGTGGTAGACTGCAAATAGTCTTATAATTCTTCAAATTATTCTTGATTCTAATATTGTATTTCATGTCAAACTAAACAAATTTTGAAAATCTTTCGTATATAAAGTGACTAGCAAGAATGGGGGATCACTAAAATTATTTAAATGCTTTTATTTTTATTTTAAATTATGGATGTGATTTTAGTGTGGAAATTAGTGATGAAAAATAATAGAAAAGGATGAGTGATCCATTAAGAAATTTATTCTTTAAAACAATATCTTGATCTAATTTATCAAATTGCGATAGGCTATTGTATTGTTTTATTCATTTTCATTTTACAGGGAATTTCCACAACCAAAAGCACAGCGTTAAAATGCAAAGAATGTCACAATGATAACACGTCTTTCCTAATTAAACTGAGCACTCTTTACATAGAAAGCTTTTTGAATGAAGGGGTAACCTTTCCTATAAGCTCCGTCCCTTGAGAGATTTCCAAATTTGGGGGAACTTTATGTGGAGCATAGTTCTTTTGAGGGGATATCCTTTCTCACGAGACCAGATTATTGATTATATAGAAAAAAATTCCACCATTTATGGCATTAAGTCTTTCCTATTTGGATCAGCTCAAGAGCATGTGGAAGGAAGATTCTCAGCTACCACCAATTCATCAAGATCTAGATACCCTCCCAATTGAAAGTTGTTGTAACCTGATTAAGTTGGCACCATCCTCTGCTTCATTTCAAAATTTGACTTGCCTGGAGGTACCTAGATGTCATGAGCTCACCTATTTAGTGACGAGTTTAAAAGCCAAAAGCTTGGTGTATCTTGAAAAATTGGTGATAAATGACTGCAAAAAGATGGATGAAATAAAAAAGAATGAGACAGATAGAGATGTGGAAGGTGGTGGAATCACATTCAACTAAAGTCGCCCTTTGAATTCCCAAAACTAGAGAGATAGAAATAACAAGATGCCCACAAATAAAGTTTTGTTAAGGAGTGTTGGAAACACCATAGTTGTCTAATTTAAAAATAGAAGAGCATGATAAAGAATGGAACAAAATGCTATTGTTTGCAAAGGTATGATAGATAGGGTTAAGGTGTAACAATATCCACTAAGTAGTCAATCAGGGGCATTCAATAACCTAAAATGAGAAAGGAATAAAAATATTCATAACGTTTATCAAAGTTGATGCAAAAATAACCAGACCGTTAACTTGCCCTAACGTTGTTAGTTTCTGATGTTAAATGTTAATTATGTTGTTGACTGTACTTGCTATGTGTTAATCTTTATTGATGTGGACTAGAAAAAGGGGAAAAATACTCAAGAAGTTGTCAGTCAGGGGCATCCAGTAGCCTAAAGTGAAAAAAATGAAAAAAAAAATACCCATAACATTATCAAAGTTAATGCAAAAAATAACTAATCTATCAAATCCCTTAAATGTTGACCATTTAGTGGACACTTAAACAAAAAATTGATCTTTTTTTGCTAATGTGGACAAAAAATATTCTTAGGTGAAATTTATAAAAGTTGATTGATCATCATATAAATACCATGTGGGAAAATGTTGTTTTAACCAAACATCAAGTTAAATCACTCACTGCTTTGCAATAATGGTGGAAGCTATTTGAGGATTTCGAATTTATCAATGAACGAAATTGCTTAAGATTGTGCCAATATTCTTAAGCTAGGTGGCATAGGAGAGATGTATAATCATGAAGTGAAGTGATTGCATTCTTTGCAGTGAGCCACAACCTCTTCGTTCTTGATTTTAGATTATGTGCAATCTATCTCACCGTGTTGAATTTACGGTTTTGTAGAGAAGAAAAATGAGTGGAGAGGGATGGAAGAAGGGGATGGGATACATGGTGATGGAAAAAAAACTATGTGGCATGAATTTTGATGGATTGGTTACCATTGTACGCACTAAAGTAACATTATGGGTACTTATATGATAGTTGATCAACCTCTGTAGAATTTTACTTAGGAATATTTTTTGTCCACGTCAATGAAAAATGGTCAACTTCTACTTAGATGTCAGCTAAAAGATCAACATTTAAGTGATTAATGGATCGGTCACTTTTGCATCAATCTAGTAATATTATAGGTATTTTTGCCTCTTTTTTTAGTCCATGTAAATAAAAACTGACATATGGCAAGCACAATCAGCATTTAATATCAGAAACTAATAGTGTCATGTCCCAAAATTTGATTTTTGAGTATTAATTAGGGAGGTATTTAATTAATTTCCTAAAAAATTAAAATAATGAATAAATTATTTCAAAATAAATTATGAATATGTTTCTATAATATTATGATCATCTTCCAAATTCATTGGGGTATATTTAAAATTAATTAGCAGTGGGATCCATTAGAATAATTTTAGCCTATTAACTTATTATATTCATTTTTTTTATTGTAATGCATAAAACCTTGCCTCTTCCATTACCCCTTGCGTAACAGAGGCAGAGAAAAGAATGAACTGTGGCTTTCATTTTCTCTTCCTTTCCCTTGCATGGCGTGGATTTTGGGGTTGAAATTTCTTAGGTATGTTTTTTAAAAAATTTGTCACCTCACCTTCTCTACTATTTCAGCAACACACCAGGAAAAAAAAAATAATTCAAGGCTTATTACGATTTTTTTTTTTTTTTGCAAATTCTGGAGAGTACTTTCCTTTTGTTCTTAGTAGGAAATGAAGGGTTCTGGGGTTTTAAACATGGTATCGGGTTTGAGGTTTCAATTTAGAATTATTTTAAGGAAATAAATGTTTGGATTTTTTTGGGGGGGGGGGGAGGGGTGAAGGGTCTTACTTATTTCTTCTGAATAACTGTGTTAAGGTGTTGGTTAGATATGAATTTTACATCAATTTAACGGTTTAATCACTTTTACATCAATAGAATTTTAGTAACTTACAAACGACATTAAGACAAGTTAACAGTTTAGTCACTTTTATATCAATTTTGATAATATTATGGATATTTTGTCTTTATTCTTACTTTAGGTTATTGGATGCTCTTTGCCAACCACTTGATAAGTATTTTTGCACCTTAACCCTAAATATACACATGCTAACAAATATTTTTTTGGAAAATGAACAGTGAGAATTCATAGAAAATTGCATTATATCCTACCTATGCCAATGTTGTCTTTCTTTAAAAATTACAATAATTTCTTTTAAAACTAATATGATGGTTTGGTATTGCAGGATGGCCTTAATTCATAGAAGCCGAGTCCATCATCCATAGGCGAAGGTTTGTTGTTTCATGATTTTGTTGCTTAATTATAAAGAGCTTTCTCTGTTCTTAAATTATTTTTATTTTTTGCTACGTTGTCTGTGCTTTCCTGTCACCCAAAAAAAAAAAAATTACTTGTTGAAAAGTGAACAACGTTACTGATTCCCAAATCCTTTCAACGTGTTCTTTCAAAAGTAGTAATAATTAATAATGTTCCCAAAAAAATACTATACAAGAAATATTATATAATAAGCGGTCCAATGCGTGTCCGAATTCCATACTCATCAAAGGACACATTTGAACGGTTGAACCCTAATTTTTATCATTAATTAATTTCTACTGTTTTATTTTAAATTTATTTTTTTAATATTTTTAATATTATATTATTAAAGTAAAAATATATAAAACATATAAAAATTTAATATTAAATTTATACTGTCCAAAATATATCTAGATAGTTGATTTATAAAACTTATAAAAAAATTTAATATTAAATTAAATTATTCAAATTATACTTATATTATCCAGAGTTCATGTAGATAGTCAATTTATAAAATTAAAAAAATTAATATTCAATTAGATAGTCCATATTAAATTTGCACTGGCGGATTGATTATAAATAAATTTATTTGAAAAAATCTATAATCTTTATTTTCATAAATATAAAATAAAAATAAAAATTTTAAATTTAAATAGTCCAGATCTCATCAGATAAAATGGGTAACATCTTACATGGTACTTATCAGAGAATGGAAAACAATCCAAATTTAATATTAAAATTTTCATATTTTTGATAAATTTCTATTCTAATAATATAATATTAAAAATACTGGAAAATGAATTTACAATAGACTAAAAAAATTCAGTTGACGATAAAATTAAGAGCTTAAATTAAATGAGTCCTTGAGCTGATAAACACGCCGTGGTCATCACATTCACACTGATAAATATGGAAATGTTGGATGTAATGTAAACCAGAATGATTGACTTCGTCCCATCTTATAATTGAGGGATTTGGTCCTCTCATTATCCTTTCACAATATCCTCCCGTCTTAATTGAGCCAGTCATACCAAATAACCAAAGCTTCAGATTTGCTTAGTCTTCCATAGTTTCATTTCATAGCTCTCCGACTTGCCCTTCTCCTGTTTGCTTTCTCTGATTGTCCTTTTTTGCCTTCGTATTCTTCAAGACCGTGGAGGAAAAAAAAAAGGCCTGAAGTCTTCAATTTGGTTTTTGATATATTTTCATCCGTTGTTCTCATTATCCTTTTCACTGTTACAACACTCCTTGCTTGTTCTTTCTGTAATTTTTTATTTCTCAACTTTTTCTTAAACATCTTTTCTGCAACTTCGTTTGGGTTACTTGTATTTTCTGATTTCTGTTTTTTCTTGTCTCTCCAATATTAAAAAAAAAAAGAAATAATTATAGAAGTTCCTGAATCTGCTGCTTCTGCATTTTGCAAAATCTGTTTCCTAAAGTTGTTCCACACACCATAAAAAGATAGTCTCGTGCTCGATCTGTGTTGGAGCACTAAGGAAAGCTGATTGTTGCTGGGAGATCTGAGGTTAATACCTTGAAATCGCAAAGTTCCACATCGGCTACTGTAAGTTTGAAAATATAGATACATGCGAAAGTGATAAATTGATATGTATTTACAAAGTTCAATTTGTGTTTCACTTTTTCCAGCACATTCTCGCCTTTTAGAATATAAAGAGCAACCATAAAAAAAGAAATAAAGAAACATTTTCCAACATTGCAAAATTATTAAAGGTGTGCTCGATCTCCTTAGTTTTAGTCTATTTTTCTGATAACTTATGTGCTCCTCTTCTGGTGCTTTCCTTGTTACTGTTCACTAACCCCATCACAGTCTGATCGAACTATGGATCAGGGTGAGTTCTCGCTGTCATCGGCCGCCGCCGACCCACCACCAGGAACTTTCGACCATCCATCGGGCCTCTCGGAGTTTTGGTATAGTAGCTCAACATTTATGCTTGGCCTTCATTCTGCAATCTGTGATCTTTATGTATTTTTATTTTTTTACAGCTATTGACATTATTTCTTTAAAAAAAAAAAATTACCCAAACTTAGGGGAGCCAATCTTTCTTCAAATTTCTCCTTCTCTCTATGCTGACTCCTGAAGACCAAGGTCTTTCCTTTTCTCAAAACCGGGCCCACCTTCCAAGAAAAAAGACAGGCCCCACTCTCCACTATCATCTCACCTTCTTCTTTCCTTTCATACACTCCCTTTCACACTCTCATGTTGCTCCTTCCCTCCGAACCTTGAATTTAAGAGTAAACATTAATTATTGTCTAATTTATATAGATTAAAAATTATTTCTTCTAAAAAAAATGTGTTGGCTTTTTGTTAAAAAAAATGTTCCTTCTTTCAATAATTTACTTTGAAGTATTATTAACATAATTTATATATCATACAAAATCTAGCTATTATTGATATGGATGGAGGAAAAAGTATAAAGAAAACAGAGGGAAGGGAAACTAGAAGGAGAAAATTTTCACTATTTTTTAAAAAGTTTTATCTCATTTTTCTTTTTTCTTTATTTATCTTCCCCTCCAAACGAAGGATAAAAGTAGCTTGAGAAAAAAACAATAAATATTTAATACTTACAATTAAAATCAAAATAAATCCTTATATAACTCTCATATTAAAGATTGAAGGAAGTAATACAATAAATTTAAAAACATATATACTTCTCTGGTCTTTTTATAACTTTATTTGGATGTAATCATTTCATAATTTATAACTTTGATGCACGCACATAATACATATTTTTTATCCATTTATTCATTATTCATATTTCTTTCTTTCCTAATACTTGTTATTCAAATACTTGTAATAAGTCACTCAAAAAAAAAATTACTTGTAATAAGAGGTTATCATGGAGCCCCATCTGCCTTACTACCTATCACTTTGGAATCAAAAAGCTAAAGTTATATGAATTTTCTTTAAAAAATATTGTCCTTGAATTTAAAAGAATATTACTCTTTGATAATTTTTATTTTAGTTTTTACATGTATAAGGATGGTTTAATCATCCAAGTAATCTGCATTTAACTCATATGAATCTAATTGATGATAAGTTGTAAATATTATGAAAACTATTTACCGTAGAGACCTTTCTTTCAATTGAAGGTGAGGATTTTATTTTTAAAATCAAAAGTAATATTTTAAAAATCGAATTGGATTAGTCACTTTGATTAATTGAATTGCAAATTGGTTTGATATCTAGTTCAATTTTTGGCTCATAATTTGGAGTCAGTTCAAACTAAATATTACATCACATAATGTTTTAGATTATAAAATATTGAATAATTTTATTAAATTATATTTTTAAAGTTATATGGTAACATTTTTGTTAAATTGAAGAGAAGTTAACCTCTCATTTTATTTCCTTCCAACATTTATGCTTGGCCCTTGCTTTTGCTATGTGCTACTTTTACTGTTGCTGAGCTTTCCTTTTAAAATTTTATCCAAACCTAGCCGAGCCAATTTTGCTCCTCCCTTGTCCTCAAAGGTATAGGAATTTTTTTTTCCCCCCCTTAAATTTCCCATCTACCTTTGTGAGAGCAAGAGGGTGGGGAGCAGGAGGGAACTTGCTCCCAAACCTAACCTTTCCTTTTCTATTTACTATATAATTAGAATTTTTATTATTTATGTTAGTTTTGACCATTATAATTTTTATTTTATAATTAAAAAATTTTAATTTTCAAAATTTCAAAAAATAAAAATTGATTCATGGGCCCGACTTTGAATCATTTAAATAAGGGTTGAGTTTCATAAAATGATTATTTTTGAGATAATCAAGTTTTTGTGTTTGAATCCATATGGGTCTAGCTCATGAGGGTTAAGCCCATATGAATTTTTTTTATAATTTTTATAAAATGATTGTGCAGATTAACTATGCATATTTAATATTAAATCTCCTTATAATTTTTATGAATCTTTTTTTGATAATACAACATTAAAAATAAAGATAATCTTCTAATATGCACTTTTTAGATCATATTTTTAAAAAAATTATGAGTTAAAAATTTTAAATTTAAACTATCCAGAATATATCTAAATAATCAATTTATATAAATCATAAAAATTTTAATATTAAATTTGATTTATTCATATTAAATTTGTATTTATCAGATTGATTAGATATAATAAAAAATTATAATTTTTTATTTTAATAAATTAAAATTAAAACATTTAATATGAACCATTCATATTAAATTTAGAAGATCTTAATTAAATAAGGGCTAGGAGAAGAGGAGGGTGGGGAGCTTGATTTTATCCCTTTTGAATTGTAGTTTTGTGTTTCTTACTTTGATTTGATTTTTTGTTTTGTCTTTTTAAATTTTTAATTCTTCATTTAAAATAAATGTGGGATATTTGGTCATAATGTTGGATTGGAACTTGGAAGGACCATGTGGCTACAACTGCAAGTCTACAAGGTCAAGACAGGAACTTGGAAGGGTCAAGTAGCTATAACTATAAGGTCAAGATAGATAGTTCAAAGACTGATTTTTTTAATTTTAGACATGTGAAAAGTTATAAAGATATAATAAAAACCAAATATTATATGATATTTGGTTCCAACTACCAATCACAAAAAATTAATTTATGACTTATTATTTAATATGTTTAAGGCTCTAACTTTTATGATATTTTATAGGAAAATCATAACTCTTGGTCTTTATAATTTTATCATATTTTTTATTAGTTCATGTACTTTTTCTTCAATGTTCTAAGTCCCTACAATTTTTTTTCATTTTCAATATTAGTCCTTCTATTTTTAAATATGCCTAAAGGGAATTGTATTAAATTAATTAGGACGTTTGATGCATAAGATAAAAAGCTTGACCTACAATGACTTGAAATCACTTTTCAATGCTGATAAGTGCTATCATTAGAATAATCTTTGTCAAAATGCAATTGTTCCAATTTTATACCTCTACTAATTAAAATTTCCAACTCACTGTGTTTTAAACATGTTAATATTCTTATTAATATGGTTAGTGATACATCACATTATTTAACCATTATTAGTGACACATCATTGTTCCTATGGACATATTAAAAAGTAGATGGACTAATATTATAAATAAGAAAAACTAGAGGAACTTGGAATATTAAAAAAAAAGTATTGGGACCAAAAAAAATGCAATAAAGCTATGAGGACTCATAATTATGCTTTCCCTATCTTATATATGCATATTCTTAAAAATAATTTATTAATATTTGGTTACTTTAAAATTTTACAAGGTTTTTAAAAAAAGGAGAATGACAAATTATTGTAATACTGAAAATTTTACAATACTAAAAATGAAAAAAGATATTCATTATTCTAATAACCAAATATTTGAGTAATTGCAAATTATTCATCATTTTAAAAAAAGACTATTCATTATTCAAACATATTTTTAAAAGGAAGAATAAATTGCAAGCATTTATTCAAATAATTTTAAATTCAGAACTTTCAATTACAAATACAATATTTAGATTCTAAATGTAACTTTTGATATGCAATTAAAATTCATGTTTTAAATTTTCTAAATCAATTTTTACAAATCATTAATTTTTGAAAAACTTTGTCGAAGATCCAATAATCATCAATTTCTTCTTTCAAAACTTTATTGTCATTCTCTGTTTTTGTTTTTAAAACCTTGTGCTGTGATGCATTATGAACCTACTATTTATTTAAACAAATAATGTTGGAATTAGGATAAAATCTACTCTTGATGAGCCATTAATGGGATGCGACATAAATTAGGTAATGATGAGTTGACCAAAATTTAAAATTAATTTGATTAATTTCTGATTGAATTTCAAAAAGAGAAGTAATTATTGCCATAATAGTAATTATTTCAATCAATTTATTCCCTTCATAATGAGGTGAATTACTGATTGGATTTGTCTTTTCAGAGACAGGTCTACCTTCACTAGACATAGAGATGGGAAGCTGGAGATACAACTCATCCTAGAATGAATGTATAGTTCTCTAGTTTGATCTTTCTCTCCCCTCCCCTTCTCTCTTTGGTGCATCTACTGTGCACTATAATTTAGACCCTAGTCTAAACTCATGTGGGCAATTAGGCATATTTTGCTACACTCAAATTTGATAAGACTCTAACTTGACTCACTTATTCAATTTATTATTTAAATAATATTCCGTCAAAATAGATGCTGGGAGGAACTGCTTCCTTCGATCTTTCATCTAGTAGACCTCATTAGTTTGTGAATTCTTACAATATTTTACGTATTTTTAGTACCTAACCCCTTATTATTATTGGAGATGGGAAAATTGGATTTTAAGTTTCTTTTTCTTAAATGTGAGTTCATTAATGGGTGCCTTGTCTTTTGTTAACTAGAGAGAGTTTTAATATTCTTTTTTCTTTTTTATCAAATTTCTTTTTTATATAAATGCCCACAGTTATAGAAAAAACTGAATAAATATGTTTAACTAGAAGCATTCATCACACAGATAAATAGATTAATTATCCTTACATTATAAATTACTAATTAGCAACTGATAATTATGTCACTACTTAAAACTTGCATTTGTAATCTCCCTTTGGGCATAGGAAGTATCGTTACAGACCCAGTTAGGATATTGAAGGGGGGTAATATATATTTTTTTAATGCCTGAAGAGAGGCAATGTTGATGAAACCTCCAAGCTTCAATGATCCTGATTTCCTTATTGGAGAATAAAAGCTGAGTAGCTATAAACAAAGATTGAATAATGGAAAGTGTTTTATTGAAAAAAATTTGAGCATCTTTCTACATTTTTGTGTTAGTTTTGTTTTCTAATTTACAAAGGACTTTAATTCTTATGGTGTTGTCTACTTCAACTAATTAGTTTAAAGTGATGACTATAGGTCATTGTGGGGCAGTGCTGTTAAAACACTTCATCTACCTCTTCTTCTCGCTGGCAAGAGGCAATAACCACTTTTAGAGTCTCCTAGATCAGTCGTACATTAAAAAGAGGTAAGGGAGCATAGGCATGTTGGTTCAAAGATTGTTAATAATATTCATTGATTTGTTAAATTTTTCCTAATTTTTTAATCCTTAGTGGGATTTTCTTGTTCAACAGCATTCGTATGGATCTTGCTACTAGTTTTATTGAAAAGCTTCTAGATTATGCAATAAATGCTTTGGGACGGCGATAAGTTTTTCTACCACAACAACGTTGATGAGCTAAGGAATCAAATACAAGATCTCAATCATAAACAAGAAGCTATGCAACATTCAATCGACGAGGCTAGAAGAAACGGTGTGAGAATTGAAGTGCAAGTTGAAAGTTGGATGAGTGGAGTGGATGAGATAAAAACACAAGCAGAGCAGTTCTTTGAAGAAAAAAGCCAATCACAAACTAGATGTAACAGAACTTCATTCCCAAATCTGTGTTCATGCTATCAAGTGAGTAGAAGAGCAAAGAAAATGGCACTGAAAGTTGAAAATCTTGCAAAGAAATACTTCGATAGAGTTTCATATCTTCCTTCTCCCAAATGCAAGCACTCAATAGATGACAAAATGAATGAAGGGCCTGATTCAAGACTGCTAATTATTGATAAAATTATGGAGGCATTGCCGAATTCGAGTGTTAATGTGATCGGATTGTGCGGGGTTAGTGACATGGGCAAGACCACAATAGCTAAAGAGGTAGAAAAGAAAGTGATGGATCAAAACATATTTGGAAAGGTGATCGTGGCAACTGTTTCTGATGACATGAGCATTGTAAACATTCAAAGCCAGATTCTGAGATGTTGGGCATGCAACTCAATGAAAAAAATGTAAATACAAGATCTTCTCATCTATGTGAGAGGTTGAAGCATGAAAAGAATATGCTCCTAATATTGGATGATCTTTGGGAGGAACTTGACATGGGCAAAGTTGGAATTCCCTCTATGAGGGATGAAAATAATAACAAAAAGAATGAAGGTTGCAAACTTTTACTAACTTCAAGAAATGAAACAAACACTACTTTCAAACCTAATGAAATGTGAAAAGATCATCAAAGTGGGTGTTTTGTTAGATAATAAAGCATGGGAGTTGTTCAAGAGGATTGCTGAACTTTCTGTTGAATCAAGCAAACCTGATTTGATATTTATAGCCACTAAGATTGTTCAAAAGTGTGGCGGCTTGCCACTAGCAATTGCTACAGCTGCAAAAGCATTGAGAAATAAAGATATGAATATATGGGAAGACGCCCTTTCACGATTGGGAAATCCTTTACGGAGAAACATCACAGGAATTAAAGAGGTGGATCCCATTTTAAGGTTGAGCTATGATCATCTAACCGAAGAGTACAAACATATTTTCTTGTTCTCAGCCATATTGTCCCATTATCCCTTGATTCAAGACCTGCTCATGTACTTTGTGGGGTTAGATTTTCTTAAACACATTGAAAACATGGAAGATGCTCAGGTCGGAATATCTGCTATTATAAGTAAGCTAAAATCATTGAACTTATTTCTTGATAGCTTTTCTAGTCAACATTTTACAATCCATGACGTCATTAGAGATGTTGCACTATCTGTTGCATCCAATGAATTAAGTTCCTTCATTTTGAGACATAGAAAGTTGAATGTATGGCCAGACCAAAATTCTCTAGAAGGCTGCAAGGGAATTTGCTTAGAAAAAAGTGACATTAGTGATCTTCCAGAAGAGTTACTTGCTCCACGGTTAGAATTCTTCCTATTAAATAGTGAAAATCGTGAATTGGCAATATCGGATACTTTTTTCAAATCTACAAAAGAACTCAAACTCTTGAGCCTTATCAATGTTCGTTTTTCATCATTGCCATCTCTTAGTTCTCTAAAAAAGCTCAAAACATTATGCCTCCACTCTTGGTTGTTGAAAGACATGACTTAGGTTGGAAGCTTGAAACAATTAATAGTCTTGAGTCTTACTTACTCTCAAATTGAGCAGCTACCATTTGAATTGGCAATGTTGACTTCATTACAAATGCTAAATCTAGCCCGTTGCTCCAAACTCAAAGTGATCCCACCAAAACTCCTACCTAGCTGGAAAAAATTGGAGGTTTTGAGCATGGAAAATAGCTTTGTCCAATGGGAAGCCAAAGGATCCAGGAAAGGTAATGAAAATGAAAGTCTTGATGAGTTAAAAGGGCTTGCCAATCTCCTCTCTGGATATTTGTATTCTTAATGCCTCTAGTTTTCCAGAGAACTTGTTCTTAGATATGAATTTAAAGAGATACAGAATATTCATTGAAAAACGTTGGGAATGTTTGACAATTGTAAAGCTTCAAAGACGTTGAAACTTGAGCTAAAGAAAAATATCCACTTGAAGCGGGGGGTTCAGAAGTTATTGGAAGAAGTTGAAGATTTGTATTTATCTGGATCCAATGGGCTTGAAAATGTTCTTTACAATGGATTTCCATATTTAAGGCATCTTCAAATCAAAAGTAATGATAGTGTCAAATATATTGTTTTGAGCTCAACCCATCAAGAAGTTGCCCTCCCAATGCTTAAACTTTGACACTTGAAAAGTTGAATGTGCCGAAGAAGTTATGTGAAGGACCAATTGCACCCACCTTCTTCCAAAACCTAAAAGTAATCAAAGTGACTTGTTGTCAACAGTTAAAGTGGATTTTCTCAGCTTCAAAAGTTGGATCATTTTTGCAGATTCTTGAGATTGAAATTGAAGAATGCGACTCCCTGATAGATGTTGTGACGTCTACCATTGAAGAGTCATTTGATCCACAAAGATCATCTACTAATGATGTCATCGTTTTTGAGAAGTTACGCACTTTGAAGATGAAAAGATTGCCAGCTCTCATAGATTTCTACATTAAGGAATACGGATAGAGCAACAAATAAGGATTGCAATAAAACTTGGAAATTACTTTTCAACAATAAGGTATGTTTATTTTTTTTATTTTATTTTTGCTTTTTCTTGCTTTAACCTCCTAAAAAAATTCAAAATTAATTATTGGCAAAATTCGCCTTCACTACAATGACATTGCTATGTGGTTATCGTGGCATTGTACAGGTTTTCTTTTATTATTTTAAATTACTTAATATAAGCTAATAAAAGAGAGAAACAAATTGTTGGCATTAAAATTAAAAAAGGAAACTTCAAATTATTTGTTTTGCATTCTAAAAAAAGAGCCATGACTTTTATTATTTGAAGTTTTTTTTTTTAATGAAACGGGTAATGTATTTCTTTCGCATCCTAACTTTATGATAGAGCAACAAATAAGGATTGCTATAAGACTTTGAAATCACTTTTCAACTTTAAGGTATGTATATATTATTTTATTCTTACCTTTTCTTGTTTTAACTTCCTAATTTGTGAAATTCATTTTCACTAGAATTACTTTGCTATGGGGCTTTTGTGGCACTTTGCATGTTTTGTTTTGTTTTCTAAATTACTTAAAATAAGCTAATAAAAAAGTGAAACTAACTGTAAGCATTAAAATTAAAAAAAATTAAGGCCATCAAATTATTTATTTTGCATTCTAAAAAAAAGGCTTGAATTCAATATGTTCAAAAGTTTTTTTTTTCTTTTTATGAAACAAGCAATGTATAATGCAAGCCGATATAGGAGAAAAGAAAAAACTCCAGAATCGTAAGAACTTAAAAAGCTTAGACACAAAACTTTGGGGAAAAAACAATAAGGTTATTTATTTGAATATAAAGTAGGCATATATAGCATCCACATGAAATTTTATATTCAGTTTTTTATATTTATTTTTTTAATTTTTAAATCACTTTTCATCAAGAAGATATGTTTAAATAATTTTCTTCTTGTTTTTCCTTTGTTTTAACTACTTAAAAACTTGAGACTTATCTTCGAAAATCATTTTCACTAGCATTACATTACTAGTAGTCTATTATGGCATTTTGCAGTTTTTTCTAATTACTTTATTTCTTATGAACATTATATTTTACTTTAATTTCCCGCAACAATGTTGTAGCTATGTAAATTTCAATTTTACATATCTCCACAAACTGATTGTTTGTAATTTTTTTAGATGTCTCATTGTGCCTTTTCAACTACATAAGACACCTAAATTTTTAGATTTAAGGGAAAAAAATGATTGTGTTATCTTGTAGAGATATTGTTGAAAGTAGTTTATTAGTTTATGTGAATTAAAAAGAAAACTTAATTAAGAATGTATTAGTTACTTATTCCATTTCTCTTTTGAAGACAATTTTTATGCTGTAATTTTATCATTATTTTATTGTTTTATTGAATTTACACATTTACCAATTTCTTGAAAAATATGGATTTAGATATGAGATCTTTATTTAGACATGTAATTCAAAACAATAAGCCTGCAAATCATAGGTGAATTTATTTAAATCTCATTTTCTTTAAATAGATGTTATTTCTGATGTTGGATCTATTGGAATTGTCATATTTAAACAATTTGATTTCATCTATATGGGATGTTCAACTTTCAAATAGCTCATTTGTTAACTTGAAAAAACTAGTTGTGTGGAGGTGAGGCTTTGTGATATTAATGCCCTTCCAAGTTCTAAAATTCTTACATAGTTTGGAAGAACTAGAAGTGAGATGGTGTGAGGAGTTGGAAATGGTGTTTGATTTAGAAGATTTGAATGATTGTAAAGAGAGACAGTTATCTTCAGTAGTTGTGCCATTAAAAAGGTTAGAGCTATGTCTCTTGCCAAAATTGAAGAAAGTGTGGAGCAATCACCACCAAGGAAATGTCTCCTTCCAAAGTCTAAGGCAGGTACAAGTTTCTTATTGTAAAAGCCTCACAAGTGTGTTTCCTACATCTATGGCCGAAGGCATGCTTCATGATCTTGAAAATCTTGAAATTGAGCATTGTTGTACAAAAGTAATTGTTGCAAAGGATCAAGTTTCAGAGTCTATTGCTACCACATTTGTGTTTCCTAAGCTAACTTTTGTTCAACTTTTAGTCCTTCCAAATTTAAGGAACTTCTATCCTCAAAGGCACAAATTAGAATGTCCTCACCTTCAATAGTTAGATATTGGATATCGTGATGAAATAGAGATATTTGAAAAGAAGATTTCAAGTTCATCAAAAATACAAGAGGAAGAGAGCAAACTAGACTTAAAATATCCTCTACTCTCCTACCACAAGGTATCTTTCTAATGAGCTCAAATAAAAGAGCAAAAAGTAACTTCAAGCACAAACTCTTGAAATTGATAATTTCTAGTATTTAAACATATAAATGATTCTTATGGCTAGAATATTTAGTAGAATGTTGTTTAGAATTTGATGATCAGCTTTCAAAAACTAAAGAATGTACATTGCATACTAAATATTCTAATCAATAGATTTTGCAAAATAATTAAATAATTTTATATTCTTTCTTTTAAATTTGAGTCTCCACAATTAGGAGGGGGGACAGAGTTTTTATAAGATGCTATAAGCTTTAATTTTATATTTCTTTTGACATGTAAAGGGATAATACCATTGGTATGGCACAATAGAAGATTGAAACTCTAGAAATCGTATTGACTTTGATTTATCATGATTACAAGTTCAAGTTAATCAAAAAGAGAATATGGATTTATGATGTATTGTGCAGCTTATTCCCAATTTGGAGAAGTCGGAATTGGATGGAAAGGAAGCAGAGATGATAGGGAGAGGGCATCTTTTAATGTATTGCTTCCCCAAAGTAAAAGAGCTTCGTCTAAATGCTCACAAAGTAACAACTTTGTCGTACAGATCATTGTTGAACGGCTTCCCAAATTTAGAGCATCTTCAGCTAAATGGTGAGTTTAAGGATCCTTGTGGAGGGCACGATGTTGCTGCACTTCCTATTCCCTTTCAAAAACTTACTCTTTGCAATATTGCCAATACGATAAGCTTGGGACCATCCTTTGTTTCTTTACTAATACCAAATCTCACACATCTCCACGTGACGTGTCATAGGGTGGCCACTTTGCTGACATCATTGGCATCTCGAAGCTTGGTCCATCTCACATGCTTCACAATTGATCAATGCTATCAACTAGAGGAAGTAATAACAAAGCAAAGGGGAGAGGATGATGAGGACTAGGATATCATTTTCAGCAAATTGGAGCATTTGGAACTTGATCACTTGCCAAGATTGAAGAGCTTTTGTGGTTTTCATTATACCTTCAAGTTTCCATTATTGAATAAGGTCACTATAACAAATTGTCCTCAACTCTCAACATTCTGTCCAGGAGCTATGCATACTCCATGCCTTCAAAG